TGTGTGTTTGTCCCTATCTCTATGTTTATGTGCTGCTCAATTCTCTGACCTGCCTCCACTGTCTCCTATGGTTGCTCTGCCTGGAATCCTGGAGAATGCACAGCAAGTCCTCTCGGTGGTGCATATGGCCACATCTCCTCTGGCTCGTGTCCCCTTTGTCTGTGGGGCCCTGCGTTAGGACACTCCCTCCACATATGGCCTAGGTTGTTGCATTGCTGTTATCCATTTCTCCCCTCCAGCCTTTTGGGGGTCAGGTAATTCCCCTGCAACTTCCTTCAGCTCATCTGGTTGCCATGGCCTGTAGACAAACACCTCTGTTCCTCCCCCTCCCAGGAGTTCTGTTGTTGTGGGGTTGTCATTGCTGTCCTGGGGTTGGTGCACCCAGGCTGCTTAGGGGGTTCAGAGATAGTTAGTTTATGGCCACCCTGGCCTTTGTCCTCTGGAGTTTGGCCCAAGGATAGGGTGGAGATGTCAGGATACAATAGCTCTGTTTCCTCTTCACCATCAGAGTCTGTCTTCTTAATTGCGGGGGTGGTCTCCCCTTTATGCAAAAATGGTGTTGAGGCAGCTTTGCAGATGTTGTGGAGACAGCATATGGAGGAGGTAGAGCCCTCTCTCTAGCCCTACGTACCTTTTTTAGCCTTTCACTCTTGCCTATACCTTCTTCCTCTACTTCTTGTTTCACCATTATCCCCCTTTCTGACTTAGCTTCCTTCACTTCTGCTTCTCTCTCCCATTTCTGGAAAACCTGCCAGTTAATTTTCTCCTTCCCTACTTTCTTGTCTCTTATTCCTTCTTCTAACATTACTCTACACCTTCTTAAACAATCTGTACTGAGTGTACCTACAATGGGAAACACATCTTGAGTCACATGGTGCCACAGTGGAACATCCCCCACCACGCTTTTACCCCATTTCTCTGCCATTAATTTAGCAGGACCTGTAAGTGGATCAGGCAAAGACATTAACTTCCCCTGTTTATTCCCCATGTTTCCACAGATTCACTTGAACGGTTATGCTTTGAACTTCTCTGGGCTTATCAGTCACACACTTTTTCTCTTTCACTCTGATCTTTCCACACCAAAATGTAGTCGGATCTTATCAATCACACAAAAACCTTTGAGTAATACAGATCAGCCAGGTGGTTTGTATGACACATACGTTCAGAGCAACGCACCCTTGGGTATAGCATGTATACCAGACACTGACTGAATTACCACAAAGTTTATATTTTTACTTTCCTTCACACATACGCCCTCATTGTATTACACTCTAATACTTCACTTAAGGGCCACTTTAATGTGGGTTACTATCCACCCAGTGTTATATACTTAATACTTTTTACTTCTACTTATTTTACTTTTATCCACAAGTCTGGTTATCCTTTTTATGTTTCTTTTTTTTGTTTTTATATTCCGTTCCAACACCTCCTTTGGCATTTACATGAGTTCCAGCTCAATACCACGATAGGATCTTACAGGGAAACGCCAGTGCCCCTCAGACATTGGGCCAGTACCCCTCAGATACTGGACTTGTACAGACCCAACACAACCACTCAGGAAAATGCTGTCTACCTAGGCTTTTTCCACACATGAATTGATTCAAAACACCGTACTCACTGTTCAAAAAAGATGGAGCGGTCGCTGTCCACAACCCTGGCCTGACGTCTGGCGGGATCCTGTCCTCTGTTTGTCGGAGTGGAAATCTCCCTACTGCAGTTTTACCTTCAGTCTAGACCCAGGGGTTGATCAGCGACACGTCCATCCCATCCTCGTCGCCAAAATGTTGTGGAAATTCTTCCCAAAGTTGAGAGGTGCTAAGTCTCTGAAGAACTTTCAAGCCGGTGTGATAATCAAGTCACTTTACTTCATGCTGCATGGAGAGAAGGTCACGTCATGGATGTTCTCTCCCGACTTCCAAAATGCTCTCCCTTATATACATTTCAGTACATCTCATTACATCACAAACAATGAAACACCCTGTGTCTCTTGCAAATGTTGCTCCTGTAAATCCAGGTCTCTCTCACCAAATGGTCCTTTGATGTGTGACTTCCCCCTGGCTCTTCCTATCATAAACTCAACCTTTTGACCAGGGGCACATCATTTTATTACCCCCAAATCCTGTTTCTCTCCCACA